CATGGCAGCAACATATTTCCTTTCTTTTTTATTTACATAAATCTGAGAGATTTCTGGGTTTTAAAAATCTATATAAACATCTATGTGAGGGAAAAAAGTTGTTCTGTTCCTTTCAAAACTAGCCCTGATGTTCTGGGACTCTAACGTTCTACACCCACGGTCCCCACCATCTCCTGTTAAGTCCTTATTCTAGGTTGACAAAGAGCTCCTGCCTTGGCTTGCCCCTCACCTAGAACCCTGAAAAATCTCTAGCTCATGTTAGACCACTTGGGTGAGAACTTCTAGACTTGGAATGCAGAGGGTAGCCATTTTGCGAGGCCCCAGGCAAAGGCTCCACGTGCCCTCTTGTGGACCCTGTTCCAAGCAGAGCCCTGAAGAGGCCCTCAGAACTATGGCTGCCACCTTCTCTCCCAGGGAAGGCCCAGGAGAAACCAGAGGAGGGAGTTTTGCCTCAACCAACACGGAGCTGTGGGGCTTGAAGGGAAATGGGTAATTACCCTGAATAATGATTACAGCTCTTTCCCCTCAGTGAAGGGAAGCAGGCATGAGAGGGCTGCCCCAGGCCAGCGCCGTCACTGAGCACCAAGCCTGAGAAGGTTTTCTCGCTCCTCCGCACTGCCCAGCTGCCCAGAAAAAAGGAAGAACACACAAATGAATGACATAAAAAAGTAAAATCAAATAAAAAATAAAAATTGGCCAATGTCGAAATAAAACAAATTGTTCCTCACCCATGGCCCTGGAGCTGAGCGAGCACCCATAGATCCAAGAATTTATAGCCTGCATATGCACACAAACACTTTCACATGCAGCACAGACACATGGGTGACACACATTCACACATGTGTATACCCTACTATACATACCACCTCACACACGTGTGTAAATATACGCACACATTCACGCATCATCTCACACACACGTGTGTAAATACCCTCGTGCACATGTGTGGATCAGCTGTTCCACACTCACATGGAAATACACTCCTGCATATGCACACTAACATGTGTGAGTACACACACACACACCCCCATGCACATGTAAATACATTCTCACACGTTCACACTCACACACGTATCACTTCCACACGCTGCTACTTTTAAAATTTGGCCTTTACGAATTGTGCTACACATTAAATATGCATGAGCCACTGTGAAATGATGTCTTTAACTATTTTGGAAGATATCCAGAAGAGGTATGGCTGGATCAAATGAAATTTCTATTTTTAGTTTTTTAAAGAATCTCCGTACTGATTTCCACGGTGATTGTACTAGATTACATTCTCGCCAACAATGTAAAAGCATCCAGTTCCCCACAACCTCACCAGATTTTATTTCTTGAATTATTTAGAATAAGAGCTCAGCGCTGTTTTGATTTGCATTTCTCAAATGGCCAAAAATGCCAAAGCTTTTTTCTTTACCCATTAGCCACTTCTGAGAAGTGGCGTTTCACTTTAATTGCCCATTTTTTGACTGGGATCTTTATTTTGGGGGGGTCTGACTTTTCTGAGTTCTTTATATATTCTAGATATTAGTCCTTTGGCTGAGGCGCAGCTGGTAAATATTTTTTCTCATGTTGTACAGTAGGTCGTCTCTTCACTCTGCTGGTTTTTTTCCTTCAGCAAAGAATCTTGATCAGTAGTTCCCCAGCCTCCTTTCTACATTCTTTCTACCAAGCCTTGAGGTGGGAGGCGAGGAATCCCCTGAAGGTTTAACTCAACTGAAAGACAAGCCGCTCCTCACTCCTGCTCCATCTCTAGGTTCCCTGACTGGGATCCTCTCCATTTCCTGCTCCAGAAGTAGGCAGCTGCACTGTCTCCTCAGCCTTCTCTCTGCAGCTTCTGTCCTGGCGAGTTCCCCCGGCCTTAGAACCCATCTCCAAAGTTGAGATGATCGATTCCTCCTCTCTCCCACAAGATGGTGCCACCCTTAAGGGAAAAGACTACAGTCTTGTCAAGATTTATGCACAGCCTGGAACCCAGAGGTGCTTAAAATTTGTTGATGAAGCCAGGCGTGGTGGTGCTAGTCTGTAATCCCAGCACTCTAGGAGGCTGAGGCAGGAGAGTCACAAGTTCAAGCCCAGCCACATAACAAGACCCTGTCTCAAAATTTAAAAAACATAAAAGGCCTAGGGAAGTAGCTCAGTGTTGATGAAAGAGAGAAATAGAGGGAGAAAGAAGGGAAAGGAGGGAAGGAACATTCTCTACTTTTGCTATGGGTGAGGAACAATTTATTTTGACATTGGCCAATTTTTACTTTTTATTTTATTTTACTTTTTTATTTTATTCATTTGCATTTTGCTGCTCTCGACCATCATTTTTCTTCGTCTCTACAGGGGCACTGGCAATGTCTCTGAGGTCTGCCCCTCAGCCAGCCTCTCAACGATAATGGCAGCCACTTACTGAGCTCTGCGCAAGATATTATGCGCCCTGCCTCATTAGTCTTCACATCAGTACCATGACGAAGGTGTTCTACCCATGTTGTAGACAGGGAAGATGAGGCTGGTGAAGGAGGCAGCTGAGATGTGACCCAGGGATTACCTGGTACCACAGCCTCTGCTCACAGACCCTGCATCAGGGTCACCTTGAAGGGTCACCTTGACTTCACTACCCCTACCCATGTCCCACCTGCCTGACATCCACTTGGACTCTCTGTCCAGCACTTCCCTCTCAGACTTAGGATCCATATGAGGAAGCACAAGATAAGTGTTGGATTCTTCTATTTAGTAATGGGCAGAAAAATGCAATGGTGCCCTTCAAAGCCACCTCTCCAAAGGTAACTGAAGGGTTTTTAAAGCCTGTTTGCATTGTTTATTTTCTATATCATTATGCATTCACAGATTTGTATACTTGAATTTATTGCTTCAATGTATTGCAATCATTGACTCAGTGATTGATGGGTGTTCACATTCATCCATCTTTGGCCACCCTTTTCATTGACCCAGGGAACCTTGCAAAAGGACCTGTGATCATGAGTGGCTCCCTTGCTTTCAGGCTGAACAAGATGCCTCAAGCTCGTCTTCTACATTTTCCTCCCCAGGCTAGAATCAAAGGGACCCTGATTCATTTAGTAAGCAAAGATATCTAGAGCACAGGGGTGGTTCGTCCTTCTCTAGATAGAGGTGGAAAATAAATAATGTTCAAACAAGATGATAAATCATTAATTCTCACTGGTAGCTTCAATTCCCTTTTATTTTTACTTTGAAGGCTGTGCATCTTGACTATTAACATTGTTACTTATCTAAGTGTTTTTATTTGTTGTATCATAAAATGGACAGGAGTTTCAAAAATCATAATATTCGTATCTACTTGGATTTTTTGCATTTTATTAATATATATATTTGTTGTGCATGATGTTTACATTCCTTGCAGGGAATTGGTGCCTGTACATTTATACTAACTCTAATAACACCAGTGTTATTACTAACAATGACATGATTGAACACAGCTTAAGATTTTATGTGTTTTTGCCACCAGGGAACATAAAATCAAGACACTGGGTATAGAATCATTTGAAATAAATTCATGACTGTGATTTTGTTACTAATATAGTAAGTAGCTCAGTTCATTGATTTCTGTTTATATTAGAGATCATTTTATTTTATTTTGATTTACTTTTTAAAAAAATAAAATATGCTTTTTTCCCAACATTAAAACTATAAAACAGGTGCATTCAAAGAAGTCTAGAGTTCTATTATCCATGCTCCTAGTCTCTATCTTCTAATGGCGCAAATTTTTAAATTAGTGTTTGCTTTATTCTTGTTGTTCCTGTGTGAAAACGTTAGCAAATGTGCATATTTACACACACATCTAAGACAACACATCTCCATATACATTCTCCATATTTTTTAACAAATTTCCCAAATTCATAAATGGAAACTGACTAAGCGAGAAAAGATCTGTCGTCTCCAAATTGACTTCACTGCCTACGAAGTATTTCCCACTGCCATTCCAGGACAGGAACAAGGGGGAGGCTGCGCAGGGGACCTGGGGCCACCATGACCACTTCAACCCCAGCAGCCTCAATTCTGGTCTGCATCTTTGACATAGGGATCAAATTTGTTCTGAAAAGTGATTTTTGTTACTAAAAGAAAAATGGCCGGAAGTTGATTATCAACCCAAACCTGCTGTTGGGAGTGGCTGCTGGGGACCGCATGCTTCCCATTAACTTCCCTAGGACAGTATAGTCCCACTGTCTGGGACTGCCTAAACCCAAGCCCCAGGAAACCCTGTTAGAAGAGAAGAGAAAAACCTCATCTACTCAACAGCAGAGGACCTGAGAAATCATTTTGTCCATGCCCTCAGCTGAGGGAATCCCTTGTGCAAAAACTTACAAACTGTCATTAGCTCTGATTTAGGGGACAAGAAAATACAAAGGAAATTGGAGAGACTTCTACAGTTCCAAGGAAACTGTTGTTTTACTCTAGTACATAACGTTAAGTGTCTTCTAGAGATGTGTTAAAAATTACCTCGAGTTGGCAGCCGAGACAGAAGATAGGTGAGGATGAATTTATTTTGCTGTTTGCCATATCCTACTTTCACCACCTAGAAAAATGACTCTTGTTCATGCAGGTGAGAAGGCGGCTTACAACAAACTACATGCACATCATCACAACATACACTGCATCCACCACTTACATTCCAGGCCTCTCAGACCTGCCATCAATATTCCCCTGGTTCATGGCACAATTCTTGGTTCACAGCAGGTGCTTTGTAAAAGCTTTTGGAATGGATGAATGGATATAAATAAGCATTTTATCCTAGTGAACCCAAAAGGATAGGCGTCTGAAACTTGGCTCATCACACTAAAAGCTTGTCAGTCTCCCTGTGACTGATGTGGTGCCAAAGTGGCATTTTATATGGTTAGTGTTTCCCTTCCTGAGTCATATGGGCCAGAAGTAGGCTGTGTCCCATAAATGTGTGTCCCATGATGCTTTGAATCTAATATGTAGCTAGGAGACTGGCACAAGTGTAAGAAAGACCTTTATGAGGTCAACATTCCACACCTACCAGATGACCCACGATGGAGACGTGTAAAATGCTTGAGGAGCCATGCCTCACTTTGCAACCCCTCTTCTAAAAAACATCATTATTAGAAGTCAGTTTGATAGCATCAGGAGGAAGCAATGCCTCCAGTATCTGAAAACCCTGAAGTCACTGCGCTACGATGGATTTCAGACTGTATACTTTGGGGAAACTGATATCCCAGAAAGTCTTGTCAGTGGAGAAGATTTTGACAATGGAAACTTCCTGCAAACTCCAACTTGGTGTATTGTGCATGCTGGGGGCAGTCAGGGATGGGTGCCTTGGAAATACCGGGTGTTCTTGAGAGATGAGCTGTGTACCAAGCAAGAAGACAAGCTCTTCTTTGAGTTCTGTGATGTAGTGAGGAAGACTTATGGGAAATGCGCCATCGTGGTCAAAGGGAGAAGGCAGGAGAATGAGATGAGACCCAAGGAAGATGGAGAGGCTGAGGTTCAGTCCTATGCCCCAGCCGTCATTAACTTAACAAGCATTGTGTGTTGCCCAAAGGTGGCCAGATTCTACGGCCATGAGCTACTCACTCTGCCTTCCCCTTATAATTACCTGAATGCTTTAGACTCTGCCTGGTCCTCTCTGAAATGGTTTATCATCAATAACAGGAAAGAATTTTGTTTGCAGTCCACTGACAATGCCTATTTGTACCAGTATATACTTTTCAGTGATTTAATTAGCAAAGGAATTGAAAGGATAAACTTAAGCAAGTGGAAAACAATAGTTAAAAAAGTACAGAGATGGGAAAATTACTACCTTGGGAAATTTTCTTAGGAGTGATTCTTCCAACAAACAAGGAAACTCCCCTGTACATATGACCTTTACCAAAAACCTTATTAAGACTGGATCACTGCCGCCAAAGATAGTGACCTCACAGGGATGCTGTGGAGACTGAGAGGTCCTGAAGGGTGTTGACAAAGTACTGGGTTTACTGAAAGTTTCATTAAAACTTGTTGGTAAATTAGCGGTCTCAACTCTCATCTTGTTGAGGCAAATCAATGGGAGGGTTGGTGCCAACCTTGTACAGAGTAGGATGGTCATGAGTCAGGCGAGCAAGGCTAAAGAGTGGGTGGACAAAATTTAAACCTGGGAGAAAAAAGAGAACAAAGTGTGTAGTTGCAAAAATAGTCAAAATGAAGTAATATGCCAATTAGTTTCAGCCTATCAAAATAATCCACCAGGAGGCAGCTTGCCATCTTCTGGACGGTGGGGAAGCAAGATACTTTCCTTCCTAGTGTTCTTCCTTCCTCATGAGCCAGTGGTGGAGGGTGAATGAGGAGCATCCAAGGAAGTGTAACTCCATTGAGGCAGGTTGGTGGCCCAACACTGGAGCTGGGGAGACGTGGCAGGGATGGTTCCGGTGGGACTTGGGTGTACAGGTGGCATGAAGGGGAGGGAGTCTGTGAGCCACTGATCCAACTCCAAGAAACCCAACAGGTGGTCATCACTTTGTCATGGAGCTTCCTCCCAGAATCCTGCAGCTGAGCCATCTGCAGCTTGAACTACACCATCCTCTTCATGTGTAGGATACCTGCTCATGGAGGCTGTAGGATTTGTGGTTGTGTTTTTCACATTTGTAAGATAAAGCCTGGCCTCCGTTAAACACATGACAAAATTTACTCCCATATATATTCAAGCAGTAATTTTACAACAGTGTCAATCATTCTGAAATGTGTAAAAAAAAAATAACGTGGAATAATGAGGAGGGCTGTGGAGCAGGAGGTATATGGGAACTCGGTACTTTTTGCTCAGCTTTTCTGTGAAACTAAAAAATAGTTAAAAACTAAAGTCTATTTTAAAATAACGTAAGTGCCAGTTAATTCTAAGTGTTGACCAGATTTGACTCCTGGAGAGGTGACTGGACCATGGAGGTGCTCTACTCATGAGTAGATTAATCCCCTGATGTTCACAGCTGAAACGCTGCAGGAGGTGGGGTCCAGTTGGAGGCAGATCACGGGGGCTGTGCTTTCGGCAGATGCACCTCTTGCTGGCATTCTTGTCCTGGGCTCCACTTCCTGGCTTCCATGAAGGGAGCAGTTTTGCTCCACCGTGACCTGCCGCCATGATGTTCCTGTCTTGAAGCCGGCTAAACACTCTGAATCGACCCAGCCAAGTCGATCTTCTCCCTTTAAGTGGTGGGGGTGGGGATTTTGCACCAGCAATGGGAAAACTGACTAATACAATTTAGGAAGACTTCTACTCAGCTTCCTACAGGCTGAACTATATATAAGATTCTGAGGCTGGGTTTCAGCGTATTCTTTGTTTGTCTTCTTTCCCTCCTGAATTTCCCTGTGCTTCTCAGAAAGACTTTGTCAGCTGAAAATAGATGGCCAATGCTTTTCAATAACTAAGCAGTGGATTTCTGCAGTCTTTTGTCATTGTAAGAAAAGGAATCCAAGTATGTATTTCATCTGGGAATGAATCACACCCAAGACAGCTAACCACTACCAAGTTTCCATCCTTGCAGATCATACTTTACTGCCAGTGGTGTTGTGTCAGGTTCTTGAGGATATTATAACAAAGGACCACAAACACGGTGGCTGAAAACAACAAATTTATTCTCCCTCTGTTATGGGGTCCAGAAGTCAGAAATTAATTCCAGTGAGACAAAATCAAGGTTTTGGCAGACTGCGCTTCCTCTGGAAGTTCCAGGGAAGTATTTGTTCCTCTCCTCATCCAACTTCTGGTGGCTGCCTACATTCCTTGGCTTATGGACCCATCACTATTTCCCTTTCTTTATCAAACCTCCCTCTTATATGGACACAAGTGATTATAGTAAAGGTCCATCTGGAGATTCCAGAATCATCTCCAAATGTCAAAGTTCTTATCTTGATAACATATCTAAAGACTTCATTTCCATATAAGATAACAAACAGGCTCTTGAGACTAGGACTTGGATCCCTTTAGGAAACATTATTCAGCCAATCACAGCTACTAAAAAAAAGAAAATGTTCTGCCTGTTGAAAGTGTTTCTCTCATTGGCAATTAACTTGGTGAAACAACCCTTATTATATAGTATATTTATATGATTTTCTTTTTGTACATATATTTTAGGATTTAAGTTGAGATCAAGGAATAGTATTGTTATGATTTGGATTAAAACTGTCCTCCCAAAAGGCTCATCATATATTCAGAAGTGGGGCTTTTAGGACATGATTTGAGGGAGCTAAGCTCATCAATTAATGCACTGATAACTTCATAGCTAGTTGTGCTGTTAGGAGGTGGGGCCCCACTGGAAGACACCATTGGAAAATGGTGTCCCTAGTTAATTCATATTCTCTCTCTCTCTCCCTCTCTCTCTCTCTGCCTCACCCTGCTTTCATTGCTTCTCAGCTGTCGTAAAGTGAGTAGCTTCCTCCACCACAGCATTCGGCCATAGTAGTTCTCCTACGAGCCAGTCAACCATGAAACCCCGGATACCATGAGCCAGAATAAATCCTTCAAGTTTAATAACTCTTGTCATATTCTCCCATCAACAGACAGCTGAGTCATGTAGTACATAAATGTCTTTGGTCACTTCAATGTTGCTGTACAGATCCATGTACCAGTGGCCTGACTTGGGGGATATGAGTGGAGTTTGCCCCTACTTCATACTTCTGCACATCCACCCAAGTTCTGGGATAATAAGCACTAACAACTACACATGGAGCCAGTAAGACACGGTGCGAGGGCTTCCGTTTAGGAAGCCTTGGAGTCTGATCCTGACCCTTCTATTACTCGTGCATGTGTCTAGGTTCACCAGTTACTCATCGAACTAAATGAGTCGACCTATTTAAATCCTCACAACTAGAATGTAGAAATTACTGTTATCCACATTTTATAAATGTGTAGACTTGAGGCCCAGAGAGAATATGTACGTACTTTGCTCCTGAGCAGAGAGCTAAGATTCAAACTGAGTTCATGGTTGGCCACTTCTAAGCCACCTCTCTACCAAGGAGCAGCTTATTTAATCCCAAAATGCTAAGCAGGTGTTATCGTTTTCCCCATTTTACAGACAAGGAAACTGAGACACAAGAAGTCACCAGGGCTATGCTCCCAGCCTATGCTCCCAGCCACCATGCTGAGCTTGGTTATCAAAGACTAGCTTTTTCTTAAGTCTATGACAGAAAACAAAACCAGAGAGCAGCTAGCAAAATCACCAACTACATCTGGACATCACAGCAACAACGTATTTCAGTGTAAAATTGAGGAAGAGGTACAATAACCTTTTAGAGTTATATTATTTTGCAGTGATAAAAATAATTGAGTATTTTCAGGTTAGCAGATGAACAAGATAAACCAGCAAGAGCTATTTTTGTTTGAAAACCAAAACAATTTAATAAAATGAGTTAGAGCTATTCCTTCGAGGCCTCGTGTAATCATTAGGAAAGCAAGCAGAGGAAAGAGAACATCAATATATCCAGAGAGATCAAAAGGGCTACCTTTAATGTGCAATTTAGTTATATAAGATTGGATTCATAATTAAGACGTTGCTTTATACCAAGCATGGAAACTTCCAACAGGAAGGTAACAGAAAGTACACTGGGCTTTTGAATCCAGTGAACCTAGTTGGAATCTCAAGTTTGCGGTTTATTAGCTGTGAGACTTTGGGTAAGTTGCTTTACTACTCTGAGATCCAATTAACGTATTAGTAAAATACAGATGTCATATAAGCCAAACCATTACATTGTGTCTACGCTGTGTCTACTAAGTGCTCAAAAAACTGAAGCCGGACTATTAGAGTGCAGGCCGATTTCAAAGTACATGTGTCTAGACCCAGACTTACTGTCCCTGATCTCATTTCCGTTTTCCCCCTTTGAGGGAGAGTTTTGCTGCTTTTTATCATCAGGATGCAAGAGTAGGCATATCTGAAGACACTCCGATCAGAGGAAGCTGTTCTCTGGCATTTCTTGCAGACCATCTGCAATTGATTAGGGAATTAATCATAATAAGAGACTTCTGGTGGGAATGGGACAGTGAGCCCAGAATCTCTTTGGGAAAAGCCATGTTTCACGCATGCGTGAAATTAATGTGGGGCCAGTGCACAGCACTGCTAGGTACTGCACCTGTAGACAGATGGCAGAGTTCCCGGGGTCGGTGGCTCGTAGGACACCCCATCCTCACTGGCCTTTGTCATCGACAACAAGGACATCCCCACTCACTTCAGTGGGCCAGGTGACTCCCAAGGGGGAGCGTATTAGAAAAATGGTGCTGTCCCTGGAACAAGCACAAAAGTAAACAAGCAAGTGGAAGGAAGGAGCCCCTCCCGGCCCACCCAGGGGCACACACCCCTTCCAGGTGGGGTTATTTTGCACACACAGTCTCCTGCAGACGGGATCACCACCACGTCCATGGAAGGCAGGGTGATGGTCATCAAGCTTACTCTACCAAGTCCAGGCTGGGACGATAAGGGACTCACTTAGACATACATAACCAGTGACAGGAGGGTGGGAACCAGAATTCAAGTCTTCCTGTGCCATCTAGGATTACATTAGACTATAAGCAGTCCACACAGATGTCAACAAAATATAAGGTACCCCCATCCCTACCACCAAGGTGGCAGTTCAGGAGTGAGGTGATAAGCTCATGGTCAGCAAGAGCTCAGGGTCCTACGTCTTAACTCCATTATCCTACACTTGGTGCAGATCTCAAAGTCACCTCATGGTTCAAAATGGCTGCAGAATAAGCCATCACATTAGCATTCCAGGCAGGGAAGGAGAAAAGGAGGAAAAGGGCTCATCTCATCCCTTTTAAGGAACCTTTGAGGAAGCCCATAATAACATTTCCACTTAAATCTGATGGGCTAGACTTAGTCACGAGGCAAGCTGAAAAATGGCAGTCTTTCTTTTGGTGGAAATACGGCCAGGTAAAAAACCCAAATTATTATGGGGTGAGGGAGAAGGCGTGCTGAGACAATGAGCAGACTCGGCATGCTTCCTACTCCCTTTCCTTTGATGTTGCCAGCCACAGACTCACCAAGCATTTGAGCACTTTCCACGTGCCTAGCAGTGTGGGCCAGGGCCAAGGTGTCAAGGAAAACAGGCAGCACGGTCTGTGAGAGAGCAGCGCTTCTCAGTCACTCACTAAGATGTAAGAGGTCTGGGTAGCAAGGGCCCAGAGTGCAGGGCCTGCTGCTACGGAGTCACGGGCAGAGGAAAAGTCCTCATCACAAGGAGAAGAAGGACAAGAACGCAGCCCGCCCAGAGGTGCACACAGTGTATCCAGTCTATCCCGCATCCAATGTCTAAAATAAGGAGAGGCCATTGCTATAGACTAAACCCCCAGACTAGGAACCCATGGGGCAGGCCAAGCCAAAATGGAGTCACTCATGCTAAAAGCCGTATCACCAAACTGAAGCTTGAAGGAAGCAGATAGGTCCCCAAACACAGCAGTTTCTCCTGAAAACAGGTGACTCCAGCCCTACTGGCTCTACTTTACACAAGGAAAAGTGCCCTGGTATTAGCCAATTCCAGGGAAATACATTTTCCCCATTGCATTGTTTCCCTTCACTTTACACAACCCCTGTTCTGCATGCTGTTACTCAGTGAGAGTGGAGGTGTGCATGTGTGTACGTGCACACACACACACACACACACACACACACACACTTGCAATAACGCAAGTTTGGCACTGTTTCTTTCTCACATCCCACCAATTCCTCAGCTTACCATCCTGGCCATAGACCCTGTGTGTCACTGATGCTGCTGGGGAGATCTTTCTGACCAGTCTCGAAGTCAGGGACTTTGCCTGTCTTCCTTTACTCGGCCCAGAGCTGCCAACACAGTGGTGAAAAGTACAAGCCCCAGAGCTGGACCCCGCAAGCCTAACTCCTGTGATGGTCTCCTGCCTGCTGGGGAACCTTAGGGCAGTGAACCTCTCTCTCTGTCTCTCTCTGTACTGTTTCCTGCTTTGTGAAAAGTAGATGATGTCCATGTTTCCCTGCCGGGAGGCTGCTGTCAATAAATGAAGGAAAAGGGCTGAATGGGATGCTTCCAGGGCATCACCCAGATGTCGAGCCAAGCATGCTTGGCCTCTCACACAGGTTCCGAGGCCGTGGATCTGGACCAGCCCAGGAACCCTTCCTCTGTTCTTCTTCCCTTCTAGACTCTGGATGTTGCTCCCTTGGTTTCAGCAGGACGAGGGGACCCACCCCCAGGGTCCTGGAGCTGCAGCCCGCAGGAAGCCCCTCCTAGCTTCATTCATGTGCTCCTGGCAGCAGAACGCACGCTCCTCAGCGTCAGGCTGCTACATCCCATCTCGACATCCCGTCACCCTCCACAGAGCCAGTGTCTGCAAAACTCAAGGATGTTGGGGTACATCAAGCAAAGGTGAGATGTTATACGGGAAAGCTTCAAGGCCCAGGCACCTGGAATGCTCTAGAAATGAGTCATTGAAACAGCCTTGGTTCCTTATCAGTAAGAATTCCAACACAGCTCGGGGAGAGGTAACTAACTGCTTTTAAAGAATCCCAGGGTACTTGGTTTCTGAAATACATTATGTACATCTCTGCCTTTTCAAGCAGAATGTACGCAACAGTTTAAACTCTTCTTTGTAAAGTCACCGGTATGGACACACTGTCACCTTGTGGGGCTGTCGCCCACCACACTGTGGCATGTGGAGATCAGGAGTTCTCTGGCCAGGCCAGCTTGTGACTCTGGCCTTAACGTATCTCTGCTGCCAACATCTCACCTTCCTTTCTTCATCCACTGTGTCACAAGCTTGAAAACGATAGAGCTGTGTTAGAGATCCGTGTGGTAAGATTAAGTAGGATCTATAGGAGAGATCTTGGTGACCTCTGTGGGCAGGGAGCATGGATGTTAGCTTATGCTTTGTGACAGTTTCATCTACACAAGGACAGTTGTGTCTTACATGTTTTCAGTTTTGCCAACCTATCTACCTATATACAGTACCTACTTCCAACCAATTATTTAAAACCAAACTACAAATCTCCTGATGTTAATATGTGGGCAGTGTAATGAGAACAGTTACTGTAATTACTGATTAGTCATCTCCCCCAAGCGGTAAAAGGATGTACAGAAAAGGTAACTGAAAACCCCGAACCCTGTCTGCAGAAAACCCATGGTTGTGGTTAGTGGTTTGGTCCAACTCTTGGGTTATCTTCTACCAATCTGTCCAGGATGTCCAGCTGTTCCTCCAATTCCAGTGTTGAGCTTGAAGTCCCAAAGCCTAGAAAAGCACCTGTGTTTAAGACAAGCGCAAATATCCCCCTGGTTAGACTTTTATTCTCTACCAAAAGCCAACAGACTGTCCCAGATTTGGGAGGCACATGGGTGGGCACACAGGGTAGTAATAATGCCCAGGGGTCTGGGACTGAGGCCAGGCATGCTGGGAGTGGTCAGCACCTTCGCCCTCTAGGGGGCAGCAAGCCAAGGCCCTGAGGCAGACTGAGATCACCTGGTAGGCTGCAGAAGGGTCCTGACTGGTGGGAGGGTGGGTCTTGACCAGGGTCAGTCCTAGGTACCCCCAGGCATGCCATGGAACCATCCATTCACCATCCAGCAGACTCCCAGGCTAGAGCAGGTCTAGTCAGAATGCAGTCAGCGGGGCTCCCAAGCAAAGGCTGGAGCAGCCTCCCACAGGGGGCTGGGGTATGAGCGGAAGGGAAAGTCCCCCTGTGGTTAGCTTGACAATTACAGCCTGTAGGCTCCGGGTTGTTCTATACTTAGAACTTTGATCCTCCGTGAATTCTTTCCTACTTTCTAAATGCCAACTATGACCACTTAGTAATCACCGCAATCTTGAAGAAAGATAATGTAACTCCCCTTGCTCCTTGTGTTCTACCCAGCGGGTGGGGCAGACGTCTGTTAACATACACTTGTGCAACTTTTCCACGTGGCCCTTGGCAAAGAGACCCAGCAGTCCCCAGGGCTCACAGCTCTGGCTATTTCATCCTTACTCGTCTTCTCTGGTAGCTTAAAAGAATGAGAATCCAAATCTTTTGTTTGTTTTTAGAGATGGGATCTCACTATGTAGTCCAGGCTGGCCTTGAATTCATGGCAATCCTGCTTCAGCCTCCTGGGTACTGGGATTACAGATGTGTGCCACATGTCTGGCTCGCAAACTTTGTAACAGCGGTCTCAGTCTATAAGGTGCTCGGTAGAAAGCTCACTGCCCCTCTCCTCTGCAGGCTGCTCTTCCTCCATCCCAGTAGTAAGAGCAGTGAGGGTACACCCTGGGGCAACTCAGGATGTGAGTTCTTCCCACACTCTGCAGGGCAGACTTCCTATCCTGCACTTCCTCCCCTCAAGGATTCTCCCGCGTCCCACAGGAACCAACTTTCCCCCATAGGCAGCTCACACAGCTACCCCATCCCAATAGTGAAAACACACTCGTGATGAAAGTGAACTGCACTGCGGGAGTGTGCAGGAGCGCGGCGGGGGTGATGGCGAGCTGGCCAGGCTTCTGCTGCCCGGATCCCAAGCCCAGCAGCAGGTGCTGTGTCCATGGTAGTGAACGCGCCCTTAGGACCTACGACCCTCTGCTAGGAAGTGCTGGGGAAGGGTGCGTGCGTGCGTGTGTGTGTGTGTGTGTGTGTGTGCAGGCAGTCAGACACCCATACACTGTAACCTACTCCAAGGATCACAGACACACTTTTTCACAAAGATATTTATTTTACTAAGCAAAATACTGTTTTTTTAAAAAAGTACATGAATATGCACATTAAATTAAAGCTACAGGTTGGGAGTTTATCCCGATACATCATTCAGTAATTCCTTCTTCTTTCTTCTCAGCTGGAGCCCACCCAGGCTGACATGTTAAAGGCAAAATCTAGAAAGAAAAACCAAAGAGATAGCTGGAAAAGTCTGACAAAATAGTAGTACTAAATAGACTGGGTGTGGTGGTGCACACCTGTAATCCCAGCACTTGGGAAGCTGAGGCAGGAGGATCCCCACATCTGGGCTACACAGTAAGTTCAAGGCTAGCCTGAACTACACAGTGAGACCCTGACTCAAAAAACAAAACAAAAACAAAAAATAGTAGCCAATGATGTACTTGCTTAACATTAACCCTACGTTTGAGCACTTAGACCTAACAAGTGGCAACCACTCAAGTTTGTCTATTAACAAAAGTATTTCCAGATGCGCAATTTTCCTTCTACCTGAAAATCATTTTTGTGTGAAGCAGGGCTCTGGTCCCTAGGAGGAAGGTGGACTGCTGTGGTTGGTTCTAAGCTTAGCTATGTAAGAGGCCACCTCACACCACTGATCCTGTCTCTGCACAGCTGCGGGGAGGAAGAGGCATTCATGATCTCACAGCCGATCCTCCCATCTGCTTCTCCGTTTTACTCGCAAACGGATGGCTCTGTCTGGAATATCAATCCAGTCCACAACCGCCTTCCCTGCCCTCCTCAATTGCTCACCCTGCACCTACTCCTGAGTTTCAGTTATTAAAACATCTTTTGAAGGCCAAGATTCCAGGGCAGTAACTTTTGGCTGGCAAAGGCCCACAGCGCACCGAGGGGCAGCGCACAGCGGCAGGTGGATGACAGAACTCCTGCCAGCTCACTTCTGTGCGTTCCCACAGGTGCTGCAGCTCAGGGCTGGGCACCGAGGCTGCACGTGTCAGACCAGGGTTCCTTTCTTGGTTCTCTCTAGGCCACTGCTCTGTGAGCCGTTCTTCACCATGGCACACGTGGGACTGTCAGGACTGAGTGGCCAGCAGGGTGGGACACGCACAGCAGAACACCCAGCCCCGATGCATCCTCCAGTGAGCCTCCGGGACGCAGAGGACCCCAGCGTGCAGCTTTGGGGCCAAGGGCCCTGAGCTGTCTATAGTAAGCCGCTGCAGCAGGGGCTGTTTAAGAGTCACCTGAGGTGCTCTGAAAAGAACAGGAGCGCAGACCCTGCTGTGTGCTGTCAGCTTCTCCTGAGCCTGGAACCTGGGAGGCCGTGTTTCCACAAGCGCCCCAGACAATCCTGACCCTCAGCTGGGTTTCAGAACCACCCATCTGGGGTCCCTGCCCACCCTGCCTGGATCCTCTCATGTTTAGAGAAGCAGGGAATTCACACTGATACCTGAAGACATTACATGGACACTCCGGAACCAAGGAAACCGCCAGTATGTTACATGTGTAACCGGGCCTGAGGAACAGCTCCCTGGAGTGCCAGGGTTTGCACCCCACAGCCTGCTCTGGGCCTGTGTATGCACTGGGACAGGCACTGGCTACAAGATACCCGAGGAGGAAACTGCCGGGAAGGGACATCTAGGCCAAGACTTGAGAGTCACTGCGGTTCAGGAACAGCCTGCAGGAGCACAGGGGGTGGGCAGGAGGCAGCGTATAAGGGCTGGGTTAGGACAGATGGAGAAGGGAGTTACGTGCTGTATCAGACAGAGCCCTTAGCCTTGGGGCTTCACATGGCCTGTGAGTCCCACCTCCTCCTGCCCACAACCTCGGGGGTCTGCAGTAGGGGCCTCTCCCAGAGCCCAAAGACCCACCCTGCAGGGATCTCTGCCCTCAAACTGTGCACTGCGGCTGAGCAGCAGGCAGGGCCCTGCCCAGAGCTCTACCTTGTGGACAGGTGTGCTCTCACCCGCTCCGCAGCCAGCCCCAACCCCCCGGACGGATCATTCGCAAAGCCTGAGAACCTTCAATTTGCTTTCAGCTGTCTTTCTTCTCAGACTGCTTCTTCTTTTCGGCCTCCAGTTTTTGCTGTTTGTCTTCCAGTCTCTTCCTTTGGTACATTTTCACTCCGGCAAATGCCAGGCAGAGGATCAGTGTTTTTGCCGCCAAGATATACAGCAGCAGGGGCACTTGATCGAGAACCTTCAAAAAAAAAAGAAGGCACTGGAATGTCCTGTCAGCGATGCAGCATGTTTCTCTCCTGCTCCTTCATTCCACAAATGTTTCCTGAGCACCACTCAGGTCACAAGCACGAAGGTAGCTGCTGGGGCTGCACTTGGGGCCAGGCACACGAGGTCCCTGTCCCTGGTCACCAGCAGCTCTGCTCAGCCTTATCGGCCATCAACTGCAGACATCACAACTGGTCTTTCACAGCTTCACGAGATTTGCAGACCAGGAGCCAAGCACCCTGCTTCCGGGCAGATGTGAGGCTCAGTGAAAGGAGCTGCATCTGGGTGGCTTCTGGCACTCACTCAGCGTGTGACCTGGGCTGGTCACCGCATCTGTCGGAGCTTCTACCTCTTTCCCTGCTCAGAGAGGCTGGAGCAGACTTCCCTTTTTAGTACACGACCATTTTCTCTTGGTGCCAGAGACTCATTAGCACTAGTACGGGGGGGGGGGGGGGGGGTGAGAACAAAAAGAA